CACATATATATATATATGTGTGTGTGTGTATATATATATATATGTGTGTGTGTATATATATATGTTTAATTAGTGCGTATTCATGCATCATGTTTGTGTTCGTACAGACGACCGCTCTAAGAGCAGCCACTCTGCTGTAGACGTGTGCATCACATCAGACGACAAGCGTTACTTTGACAGTGAGACGGACGACATATCAAACCTGGAGAGCAGCGTCCTGGAGAATCCTGGAGACACTCAGCTGTGGATCAAACTGGCCTTTAAGTACCTGAGTCAGAGTGAAACGTACGTCACCAGTCTACGGCAGCGTCACGCTCCAGCTCGTCACAGCCACAATGTGCTGATGTGTGTTTGTCTGCAGGTCTGCGGGCGAGAGTTTGGAGGCCGCCCTCAACACGCTTTCTCGTGCTCTGGAAAGTAACTGTGACGACCCGGAGGTGTGGAGCCACTACCTGTCTCTGTTCTCCAGACGAGGCAGCAGGGAGGAGGTGCAGGAGATGTGCGAGATGGCTGTGGAGCACGCCCCCGACCACAGAGTGTGGTGGAACGTAAGTGGCGGGATCGTCCATTGGTTCATAGCTACTGTCCCGAATATTCTAGAAAGACAACGTCTGCAGTGTGTAGATTAAAATCTCTAATCACGTGACTCACCTGTCCATCCTGTATGAGATTTACCTGTGTACGATGTCCAGGTGTGTTCCTCCAACCAAAATCCAACATTCAAGTCTAGAACGTTTCCATAGCAATGGACTAATAAAAGCTGCTGAGCTCAGGGAATGAACCTCTGCTCCTCCTGCAGTACCTGAACCTGGAGAGCTCATTCGAGGGGCGGGACTATGTCTGTGATCGTCTGCTGCACTTCCTGCTGACGGAGGCGTCGTCACGACTCACAGAGAAACTGTCTTTCCAGCTGATGGAGGCTCTGCTCTACAGAGTCCAGCTCAACCTGTTCACCGGCAGGATGGAGAGCGCACTCGCCATTTTACAGGTGACACATGGCGAGCCCTCACACTCTAACCTCTCTCACTCGTCTCACCTCTCTCACCTCTCTCACCGTCTCACCTCTCTAGACCCTTCTGACCTCTCTCACCCGTCTCACCTCTCTCACCCGTCTCACCTCTCTAGACCCTTCTGACCTCTCTCAC